TCACATTAAACGTTTATTTATAATTCGTGTCGTAGATAATTTGTAATTCAATAAGTCAAGAATACAACATGTAAATTTTGTTGCTTGTATTTCCTTCATTCGCAGAATAATCATTAAAATCTGTGTAGTCCTTTTTAATACATAATGAGTGAAGTATAAAACTACATTTTAAAATGTTTACATTTCATTTATTTACTTTCCTTACCCATCACAATTGTTTATAAATTCAAGTTAAGCAGATCAAACTTATAATGACTTATTCCGTTGTGTTCTTTCTTTGTACCATTATCCTGACACACAAAATCTTTTCCTGAAAGTATACTTAAATTAGTTTAATTTGTGTTAAGTTTAAGAAAGTGCATTTTACGATAAGGAAATAATTTCAAAAGAAAAAAAGAAAAAGAGGAAAACAAAAACTATTTGCCGCAGAAGAAAGTTCCACTTTGAAAAGGATTTAAATGAAATGACTTTAATAAAAGATTATTTTCATTAGCTTCTAGGGTTATGTAATATTGGAGCTAAACAATTTTAAGTAGATGAAATCTGTAACAACATTAATAGATAGAGTGTTTATTTATAATTTATATGTAGCTAGGGATAAATATACACTGTATTTAGCATTTGATGTCAATTTGAAAACAGTTAAGGTTTATTCTTCGGTTTTTATACTACCTAAGAAATATCTAGATCAACATGTCTATATATTTACAAACTGTGAATAACTATTGTAACTATTCTAATATAAATTTATAAACTGTACATCTTTGGTGTAAAAAAATTACTGAACCTACAAAACTTGTGTCATTACTGGGATCCCAAACCATTGAGTTAACAGTCATTTATTATTTAATCAAAATTCCAAAAAACCTTTGCCAGTAAATTCAACTATAATAGTTCAATTACAAAGAAATTTAATTGGACATTACAATACAATAATTTACAAAAATCTAAACACTATAAGAGGAATTATTGGTTGATGTGACTTGCAACCTATAGGTATTTGTGACACCGAAGAAAGTTAACTTTTAAAAATGTAAATAATAGCGACAGAAGTGTGAAATATTTAAGCAGTAGCTCTTCAGAGTTACTGCTGATCCGGTAAAGGAGGAGGATTGAGCTTGTGGTCGCCAACACCATCGCGTAGGAAAAAATCTTCTTAAAAAAACGCCAATCAGATTGAACAAATTAAACCATTTAAACCCTGCCCTGGGAGTTGAAGGGAGGATTATCACGCCTCAGGATGAGAGCCGAGATTTTTTAGAAGTCAAGAAGCTGATGCCCCTTCTAAAAACCACAGCAACAGGTTTTATAGGTACGTGGAACGTCCGGAAAATGTGAGAGACAGGCAGGACCAAGCAAATAGCTATGGAAATTAGGAAATACAACTTGACGGTTCTCGGAGTCAGTGAAACCAATTGGATCTAGGCGTGAGAAAAGCTAGATACCGGAGAGATGCTGCTGCACTCTGGTCACGAAGAAGGAAATGCTCTGATGCTGTCCAGTGAAGCATGTAAAACACTTATAGGACTGGAATCTCATGGATCCAGAATCATCAAAATATCTTACAAAACACAGAAGTTGGGAATCACAATGAATGTTATTCAATGTTATGCACCCACTAATGATAGCAACGACGACGTTAATGATCAGTCCTATGAGAGGCTGCAATCGATCATGGCGAAGTAATCACGAAGGGTCCTGGTCATCCTGATGGGAGACCTAGTCGCCAAAAATAGAATGGACAACACCGGATATGAGGGTATCATGGAACGACATAGAATGACTGCGAGAAAGAAACGAGAATGGCGAGAGACTCACAAATTTATGCGTATTCAACAAGGCGGTTATAGGCGGCACAATATTCTGACACTAATACATACACAAAGCTTCATGGGTCTCACCGGACCACACCACGCGGAACCAGATAGATCATATCGATATCACTGAAAAATTCAGAAGGCCAATAGAAGACATGAGAACCGGGAGAGGAGCTACCATAATCCCACATCACCACTATTTGGTGGCTGCCAAAATGAAAATGAAGCTAAGGAGGCGCTGACCGACTGGGGAAATAGCATTACACAGGTTCAAAACAGCCTTCCTTCGACATACTGACAAGTTCTACCAATTCAAGGAAACTCTCAACAGGTTTCAAGTCTCATACGATCTACTCAAAGAAGAGAAAAACACTATGAAGGGAAATTGGAAAGGGGTCAAAAAAGCACCAGCTACAACGTGTCAGGACATTTTAGACCCTGGACAAGATTCAAGTAAGGAAGAATAAGAAGACAGAGATTAACAACAGCCGAACAAGAACGAAGAAAGTCAAGGCACAGGTCGAATACGTCGAATCAACCAGGTAAGTGAAGAGGAGCATTAGAACCGATGAGCTGAAATACGTTGAAGACTTAACACTGACAGCGGATAGAGCTGAAAGAGAATAAGATATGAAACAACTATATGACACGACGAAGAAACTGGTAGGGAAATGTAGCAAACCTGAGAGACCGGTAAAGTACAAAGAAGGCAAGACAATCACTGAGATTCAAGAACAGAGTAACAGTACGTAGAATTCTTTGAAAAACTCCCAAATAAACCAGCTCCATTGAATCTACAGTACGTCGACACGGCACGTACAAGTATTGCGATAGATGTTGATTACTTGGATGTAAACCGATGAAAGAAAATGACTTGTGAAAGACAATTATTCAGTTCATCACACTTCTCAATAATTCTCTTACTGACATCATTTTTCGTTACCAGTTATTTCAAGCATACCATTTTCCACGAAAACATAACACGAAATAGCGATAGAATCTTCTTTTATTTTCTCTGAAGCTTCCGCTGATCAAGACTCAATTTCGATTTTGACACAAGTAATTTGAATAAATAAAAATGTTTCAAATTTGTATTTTTTTATTTTTTTTCCTTTGAATTGTTCTTATCACTCGGAGATTATATTATAGGAAACAAGAAATGCGATTATAAGAAAAAAACCATTCTTCCATTGACTTCAAAAACAAAATGAAATTGGAAACTACTAGTTTTCTTCTCTTCCTTGCTGTTTTCCATTATCTTTATCGACAGATTTTGTTGTTTCCTTTCTTTTCTATAATTCAGTATATTCCCAATTTTGTAATATATATATATATATATATATATATATATATATTGGACTAGTAAATATATAATGTTGGTTGTTAGAACACTGCTGTAAATGAATTGGATATTATTTCTCCTCATATACCATTATTCTTATTTTCCCGGCTTCTATAACAATAAAAGCAAGAATATAAAATGAGGGTTTTTACAAAATATATATTTCAACTAGCTTTGTCACTTTTGTTAGAGAGTTATTATCAGTACTCGGTTTGATGTTCAAATGAAAGCAAATAAAAGTAATCTCCTTGTATATTTGGTTATTATATATTTATGCGATATTGTTTTTATTAATATCGATCTGCAGTTTTTTCTCGTCTATCTTCTTCAGTAACAGTTCATTAGTTTAATTACAAAATCCCAAATAACAACTATTTTCGAATTATTACAAAAGTGTTGTTTTGACAAATATAAATAAAAACTTAATTAGGTCCCCTATGTATTTCTACCATGTATATATTAAACGTGACTTATCAATAGTAAACAGTTAAAAGCCAAAAGCTTTAACTTTTTTTAGCTTGAAATATTCAAGATGTTTATTATAGGTTACGATCACCTCTAAACGAGTAAGGTTCACCAAGAACTAACTTCTAATGAGATATTGAAGGTTCTTAAAAAAGCCACGATCCATTTAGTTTTATCATGACAACAGTTAGACAGAAGCAATAGATAATATTGAGTAAGGGTCATATAATATTATGAATCAAATTAAATTTGAAACGTGGACTATATTTTAAGGCAGACTTCTAAAGACATTGTGCTCGTCAAGCGACCAAACGTCCTACGTTCTGGTGAACACTGTTGCATAACACAAATCTCGACAAAACAACTGTTTAGTTCTCATCGGTATTCAATGAATCATCAGTTGACTGCTTTCACGGTGAAAACTGTCCAAACAGAACAGGATCGTCTATTCATATAAAAGGTATAAGGTCAGGTAAAAGAATTAGATTGTTACTGAACGTACTACAAAAAATCATTCGATAATATTCATAGCAAAAAGTCGCCAATTTGCAATAAGTATCCACTATGTGCATTAATAGTATAATATGAGCACATATTTGATAGCATTTAATGTAAGCGAATGCACAAAAACATAACTTCAAATCTTACAGTGTCTTCGTAAGATTAGTCAAGAGGGTTTTTAAAACAATGTTGTATTTTCAAAACTCCTGTTTCCTTCAGTAGAAAACACAATAAAATATGAAGTAAATATTTCACTCCTCACGTTAGACCATGCATTAAAAGTAGAACTTAACACTATACACATAAAAATGACAAACTAAACTACAGTAGAGGCAAAAATCGATACATATAGACAACTGTTCCCTGCATTATTTCTTTACTGTAATGTTAATCAGTTACTCGTGAAGAATGAAAATAACTCATTACGGAACCTTATTCGACTATTAGAAGTTTTATTTATGGAGACAGTTTTCATCACAGGATCACTGATGATCTGAGCATGATGCTGAGTTACGTTTAGTTTAAAAGTAGCTGCCAACAGCTCCAACTATCAAATGGGAAACCATTCAAATTAAGAGTATATCAATCTGAGTTTTGATTTAATAGCCTAAACGTCGTGTTTCTGCTAGACTCATGGATCCTGTGTCCGGTTGTGTCTGAAATATTGAATATAGACTGCTTAGAAGTTCTCATTTTCATCATTTCATCTCCTAATCAGTAGTTTACTTCCTTGAATACACTGTATTTTCTTGACATCTGGGGTGATCTCTATTGTTTTATTTATAACTTAGAAATTTATAATTATTTGTTTACCCAACTTTGTTTATTTTTGTCTGTATGTTAATTGCAGTGTCCTTCTATGTCTTCTTTTGCAGTTATCTAGTATAATGGAGGTAGCTTGTGAAATCGAAATGATTAAAGATCCCGAAACACGAAAATCAAATATCACATATGTGGCAAGACACATTGAGGATGCCTTGAGTTCACAACGTGAATATCGATCCGGTTGTGGTGTGCGCTTTAAACATTGTTTAGCTAAAAGTTGCTGCTTATGGTTCGGTAAACGTTACGGAAATTATTTAATATGCTTATATCTAATTACAAAATCACTGTACATATTCAATGTGGTTGGGCAGTTTTTTTTAATGAACAAAATTTTGGGCACGAATTACACATTTTATGGTTTGGATTTACTCCGTGATATAAGTGAGGGTTATGTGTGGCAGGAATCAGGCAATTTTCCACGTATTACGCTTTGTGATTTTGAAGTACGCAAGGTGGCCAATAAACATAGGCATACTGTACAGTGTGTACTACCTATCAACATGTTTAACGAGAAAATCTTTATATTTCTATGGTTCTGGTTCATATTGGTAGCGGCTGTGAATACAAGTAGTTTTCTATATTGGTCATACAAATCAAGCTTTCGTGGAACAAGAATTCAGTTCATTAGAAAATTTTTAAAATTACGTGGAGCGCTAGAACCAGGTGATAAGAAAAGAACATTAACATTTGTTGATTCATATTTAAGACAAGACGGTGTATTTATTTTGAGATTGACAGCACAAAATGCTGGTGAACTAGTTGCGTCTGAAATAATTGAAAAATTATGGAATATGTACAGAGCGCATCAAAATATAAGCACAACTTCAACATCTCAGCCACTTTCTTACACTTTGCCGCAACAACCTCAACTGCCACAACATCAACCGTCACACCGATCATCACATCACCACCACCATCACCGTTCCAGTACAGCCTCAAGTACTAATAGACGTGCAAGCCGATCCCTTACTCCAGTAAGTCCTTCAGATTCATCAGAAATAAGAAGAAAACCACCTCCGAGCTATCCGGCTTACCATTTACGACCACCACCAGCTAGTCCGGCAGGGAGTCAACTTCCTCCTCCTCTTCCTCCATCCCTTAGGCCATCAGCACCACCACCTCTTCCTCCAATACTAGGAAAAACAACTAGTAGTAGCTTAGATGGTACAAGTAGCTCTGTAACAAGTCATAGTCAGCCATCCACAGTAACTGAAAACACTGATCAGTTTGTAAGAATGAGATCTGTTATTTCAGGTAATATAGGGTTTGAAACATTAAGACCAACTGAAAGTCAGTCAACAGATTTATGTACTAACACCGATATAAAGAAGAGACTACCCACTACTGGGAATAGCTCTCTCCTGGGTGAAGTTAGTGTTAGATCTATTAACTCTACACAACAACATCAGGCAAATAATCAAAGTTCACAGATCCGTAGTCAATCAGAAGAAGATCCTGGAGAATTTGTCTAATAATACATTATTTTCCCATTCATTGCTGGCATAACAAAAGACAGTAAATATTCCTTCCTAAAAATCTTTTAAACTGTGATTTATAAATACTTCTCACTGCTTCTATTCTTTTTGTACATTCAATACCTTCCAGCTGCCTGAATCAACCAGCATTTACCATCAATAAAATTACTTAAAAATTGATTTTCCTAAAGACATTAACTCCACTCTGAACATTTCAATTTTCTTGCTGTTTAAAGCGCCACTGCGATCTATTTTCAAAGTCTATTCATCTTTATTCAAACATTTATCTTTACAGTGCTTAGATTATTTTCAGAGTAACAATTATATAAATGGATTTAGAGTACATCTTTTCAAATTGAGACAATAGACTAAAATGTGCTTAAATTGAAAATAGAACATTTAACTTAATAAAAATATGCACCATTTGTACATGAATGTCCTTGTATATATCAATGAATATATATATATAACTTTTGTAATACTCTAGTCCACTATGCCTTGCTTGAAGTGATATTATGAAAGCCTTACATTAGCACATGCATAAAATAACCAAATACGTTAGTAATCTTTTCATTTCTCTTTCTCTAAACAATATCACAATAATCAAAACTCTTAAATTCAATTAACTTAACATACATCTTTAAAATTGTGTATTATAAGTTTATTTTCGTTTTAGTTTTAAATGAAAAGATGTTTGTGTACAGAAATGTATGAAATAAATGATAATAAATAAAATAACAATGACAGACATTCCAAAATGAAAAGAAGCGTCTGTCTCATGGTTTTTCAACCAAATTTTTTAATCTTCTTTTGAAAATATTTAGGTTCTCGGTACTTGATCTAGATAACTAAGAATGAAGATATCTTGGTGTATTTTGTATTGTCCCCAATGTTTAAACTACTTGAAAGAAAGAAAACTGTTATGAAATAAATTTTTATATGGTCTGAATTAAAATGTATCAACTCGAACGACACAATTAAAATGGCGTAACCATCTCATTCCGTAGACAGCTGTCAAGGATATTTTAAAAAGTATTTACCAATTCTAACTCATTCGAAATCCTAACCTGTATTTACAATGAGGTTAGACATGATATACATCGAGTTGCGTAGGGATAACTTGAAAACAAGGGAGAAATAACTATTTTAGTAATATTAACCAAGGTATATCAAGTGACTGGCAAGAATATGTGCTATTTTGACTAACTCGTATTCATTAACCACAACACAAAACAGCATTCTGATCTATGAGTTAAGTATCAAAGTAATTTGAAATTAAAACTACATATTTTTAGCCGTATTCACATAAACCACTGCATAATGTCCCCAACTTTATTTGTCGTCGAACGCTTGCTGCACTCCATATGGTACTCAGATTAACACCAGGTTGATAGATGGAATAAGAACTTCCGAAATATATTTACTTGAGTTTATAAGCGAGAAAATATAGTCTGAAATTCCTATGGATTTATTCTACTATTTTGAAAACAGTATGAGATATTTTATTACTTAAGAGGGGGAAAATAATCATGCAGTCATACTAATGTTCCTGAATTTGTCTATTTTCGTAACTATTAAAATAAATTTCATCCAATCATCAGTTTGGTGAAAAAGTTAAACCTTAGAAACTGTTTGATTTTACATGGAAATTTACATAAGTTTTTTGCTCTTTATGTGACAGTTATTTCTAACTCAACGATGCGAAACTGAGTAGTGTCATTATTATTGAGGGTAGAAAGTTTATGATTTTCGATTTAACTGATGTCGCTGACTTATGCACGAAATTCGATTATTATGTTACTATGGTGTTCCGAAGCATGTCTTAAAAAGCAAATATAAAGTTGTTATGTATGTATCAAATAGTACTTAAAATGTACGCATATGAATTTCAGGCTTTAAACGAAGGGCAGTGTAATTAAAATTTTGAAAGAGCAAGTTTGTTAGACACTTCCATAATCTGCCAAAAAAATCATAAAAATAGTTTCGTTAGTGTAATAAGAAGACGAAGATTACCAGAGCTATGTGATGATATATTAATGCAATACATTTCGAATAATCTGATCACACATAAACTTTTTAAGAACATTTATATATTAAAATAAAAGATCAATTAGACTACATATAATTTTTTAACAAGTTTATGTGTGATCAGATTGTTCGAAATGTATTGCATTAATACATCATCACATAGCTCTGATACTCTTCGTCCTAATATTACACTATCGAAATTGATCAAAACAACTAATTGCTCTAAAAATAGTTATTTCAGTATTGATTACAGTAGAACTGGCCGTACATCAACTTGCGTTTATTTAAGAAATTATTATTAGTTCGGATCTTTAACAATGTAAAAAGCAATATTTGCTTCTGTTTTGTACACATTTTGTTCATTACTAACAATATTTACAATCGTAAAAAGGAAATAAGTCATATTTCATAACCATACATTTTATCACACATTTTCCAGAAAGGGATTTCTTTTTTGAAGAAATCTTTACCCCTTGTTCGAATAAATGGAGGGTTGAACTAAGCTAAAAATGAACAAATAAAAAGATATCAGCATGCAAGAATGATTAACTTGTTCATTTATTTATATTCAATGATGAATTGCTCATTGAAATCATTAAATTAATTGTTGCTGAAAAGTATTTCATAATGTAGTGAGAAGACAACTATTATCGGGACTAAGTGAAATATAAGCTCAAAACATTTCAAACAGTCTGATTGCATACATAACTGAAAAGACATTTATATCCAATCCTGCTTTTCCTTTGTAAATGTTGAGATATACTGTAATGAAGACCACTGCTAAATTAGCCGCCTTTGTTTACATTTGTTTCTGTGTATGCAAAATCGGAGAACAAATCATCCAATTATATTCAAGGTTTCTACTGTATACCATGGTTTTCTGATGTGAAGTTCTTTGTAACCCAATCAACAGAAATAGAAAGGGCAGGGTTATTTAGATTTTCCTGACTCAAGTCTTTTTTAAAAATGCATTTTGAGCTACCTCTTATGAGAGAATTTGCAGTTTATTCCGTTGTAGAAATTCCCCATGATAGTGGAAATCTTCTCAGATACTCCATAGTGCCACACGATAGGATTCTTTCACAAAATCACCAAAGTTGGTGTATACAGATCATTTTGAGCGCTATGAGTCTTCCATCCTATAAGTGCTTATTTGTAGGTCATCAATCGAAATTATTGTGGATATAAGGCATTTTCTTCCTTCTGATCAAAATGCAACATCATCTTTCCTGAAGTTAACCTTTTTCTAGGGTTACAGTCATAACAACATTTAACTTTTTAAATTATTCTCTACTTAACATTTACAAGTTGAAAATAAATACTTCATTTGAAATTTCTTCTGAGTGTTCATCTTGTTGAAATGACTTTGCTACACATACTGAGCTTCTCCCAAAGATAAATCCTTAACTTTCATTAAGCTAACGCTACATCTCGTATAATTAATACTTTATAATTAGACGACAGTTATAAATCCTAATAAAAAATGTAAGGCAAGACAATATTTTGATAAGTTCAGCGTGGGAAATGTCTTTTCGAATGTCATTTACTAAAGCTGCTTTATCCTCTGCATAGTTATTTTACGTATGGTACTCTACAGTAAAATGGGAAATTACTGAAACATTAACAAAGATAAAAAAAATTTATTAAAACTTCAGTGTCGAAGTAAGGATAATAAAAGGGATACCACACAAATGAAGATGTAAAGGATAATTCTTCATTTAGCAAATATAAGCAAGCAACGAACGCGTGTTAATAAAAAACTAGAAAAATTCCAAATGAACGCTAGGATCATAACAAAATAAGGCTTAAACATTTGGCTAAGCGAAAACGTCTCATTTAAACTTCCCCTAGGTCCAGTTCGTCCGACTTAGTGAATCATTTGGAATGAAGAATTTAGTGGATATTCATGGTTTGAAATTCAATAATCGAACTATTGACTGATTTGTACTCAACTTTCCATAACCGTAATGAGTAATCCTACAATATATGTTAGGAAAAAAACATTTTGTATGGAAAGGATTTTGTCGTAAATTACTGTGTACGAACGAAAAATATAAATACGATTGTATAAGTTTGACAAATGATAATAGAAAAGAAACGTTTCTTAATTGAATTGTCTTCACTTTGGTAAACATCTATAGTGCAGGTGAATGTCAACAAGAAAGGTTATGAACAGTGCATTCTTCTTATTTCTATATAGCACTTAACTTACACAGTATAACGTGTTTATATAAATATTGACTGATAAAGTGCGTTAGCTACTCAACGCCCAGACTTTTCGTTTCACTAATATTCAAGCCTAATTTATATTGTTATTACACCAAAGTATGAAAGTATGATTCATGACATGGAACTGTTGTTTACTATTAAAGAATAGAAAAACGCCTAATTTTTTTGAGAATACGGATTATCATAGTGGGTGCAGAATCTAAGCCAACTTTCTTAATGACCAAGCCACAATAGAGCAATTTTTTGCATTTTCATAGGCTAGGGTAAATGTATAACTGATAAACCTGACTTGTCATTGTTATATTCGTCCATCAATCAAGAGTGAGTATAGATGGAAACTATATTGTAGTTTAATTACTGTTGTTATCGCCATAACCCATAATATAACTTTGAGAAAATAATCCTTAAACTGAAGACTTCTTAAGACAAACATAAAACTGATGAATTACAATTCTAATAGTTTATTCGCTTATATTCCACACAAAAATATGAAACCAGTAACATCCTTCATCTATGTAAAAGTAAAAGAGACTGAGTTTTCTGTACGTTAGTTACGCAGCCACTGAAGATGACGAAGATTTAAATATAAAGCATTACCAACTTCTAAGGAAATCACTTCAAAATGGAACGTATTGCTCAGTTCTTTTTTATATTCCATTAATCGACACACGTCACTGACGGACTTTTTTAAACAACCCCGGAAAACACTAATTTTTAGAAATACAACTGATTTTCTCCTTCACAGACTGTTAATGTTTTTAGATAGACGTTACCAGTCATTCATCAAACATACAGAAATCGAAAGCCTACAACTATAGAGTGTTGCAATTTTAGATTTCTTCATTACGTCCTACAACTCATACAATGGCTTTAATACAATAGAAAATAATGTATCCATAAATATACTTAATGTATTAGTTTTGACAGGATATACCGATGACTAGTTAACATAAATCGGTCATCAGGTACTGAAACAAATGTTGATATTGTTAAAAGAGCAAGACATTTACGTAAAGCTGATGTTTTATGTCAAAGACACTATAAATTAAATTTCCAGTTCTCCATGGCATCCTTCAAGATAAACTTTTCACTGTCACAACGAGATTCATTCTCCCAATGAATGGGATAAATGATCGACTATTGCTAAGAAAAACATAAATGGAATATTGCAGTAATACTTTTGGTTCGTATTTTAAGTACATGATACTATTTATTTCAACTGTAGATAAATTAAATGCAAAAACCTAAATGAGGTATATTGCTAAAAGAACGTGAGAATCAATCAAACGCTTTGAGTTCCAATTGAAATCGACAGCTGATTTGTAGTTAGGTCTTTCATTTAAATTGGTAGATTACAAGCAATTTGGCTGGTTAGCTATTGGTTCAAATCATAAAACTACCAAATATCTTTTTGATACTGGTAATCATCAAATAATCTTAATTTTTAGAACTATAATTAAATCATTATGTACCTCTTCTAATTGTTGCAGTTTTGTTGTTTTTCTTTTTCAAGAAAACTACAAGAAAATGACATGCGT